GGTCACTGTTCCTCTGCCGGTAGCACAACACCCGACTTTGTGTTTTCTGTGCTGCTGTGTGAAAGGGGAAGGGAAATTGCCCAGAGGAATTTTAGGTGGGCAGGATGGAACAGCCCAAACTGGAATTTGCCTGGGGCGTCAGGGTTAAGGTGCTGGTTTAAAACACTTCTTTTCTGAATGGGGTGTGAGTGGAGCACACTCCTGAATCATACCCTTGGCTGCTCTTCCTTCCTCCCCTGCTGCCAGAAGTGTGAAGGGAATTACCCAGGTGTTCCTTCCTGGCTAAAAGGTAAGGAATGTGTGGTATCCTTTCCCAAAAAGAGAGAGACATGGCCAGTAGCGTTTTATTGTTTCTGAGGGGCATTTTTGTAGTGGGGTTGGATAAACATCTCAGCTAAATGCTTCTGCAAAGTTTCATAATGGAGTTTAATGTAATAAAATGCACTTTTTCTGCAATTTCATGTGTACGCATGATAAGGAAAATCACTGACACTAGGATTTCACCCATGATACCATCAAGGAATTAATTTGAGGTGATACAGTGGTGAGCAGCCATAAACATCTTTGCAGGCTTTCTTTTCATAGCCAGGGTTCCTTTAAACACAAGAGCTACCTTTTGTTTTTACCATGTATGTGTAACTGGATGTTGTTAACATTGTAGGCTTTTGGCCCAGGAAATGTAGGCTCTGTACTTTGACTATTGTAGGATATGGCTTTGAGTGATAGGCTGTGTCTAAGACCGCTTCCCGGCTCTACCATTCCACCCTTCTCCTGCTTCTGGACTGAGAAGTTTGACGCGCAAAGCAAGGAAAGTAAATCCAGAGGAGATGTAGCAACAAAGTGGGGGGAGATATTTTCAACATCTACTGATTTTTAACTCGTTGTCACTTCCCGAAAGAGTCTTTGAATCAGGGGTATTGACTGAATAGAAAGCCACAAAGAAACTTAAAATTACAGTTGCAAGGAAAAGCATAAGCTTAGTAATATGCTGTAATAAGGAGGCTCTCAGAAAATCAGCCTGGAAGTAGCTTGTGGCATTTTTGAAAAGTGCTACGTCTATTAGCAAGTAAGCAACAGAAACCGTCCCACATGTCTATTCAAACAGGTTTTTTCCTCTCCTTCCTTCCAACATAAAAAAAAAGGGGGGG